AAGTTGGTTAAGTTTAAACTAGCAGGAAGTTATCCAGGCGCAAGAACATACCAAATGAATTATGTGAAGACATTGCCTGGAATGGACATGGGAACGTTTTCTTTCGACCTCAATCAAGCAATTCGATCCAATCCTAGATTCAACGGAATTCCACTGAAATCATACAAAGATGTCAAACCTAAGCTCTTAATAGGAAATGACCATATCTTCCTTACTGAGCACTTGAAAATAATTGGAGGTAGAGTCAACCAGCCACGCGCCTATAAGTCAAGGCTAGGATGGTATGTTAGCGGAGTTCTGGGTCAACGGAATCAGTCAACGGAATCCGTCTACGATATTTGCTATGGCGATTCAACGGCACCAGATTCAACGGCACAAGACTCTGCAATACATGAGATGATGAAGGTTAGTTTTTCAACGGAAGATTTTGTAGTGAAGACTATTCATGAAAGGCCGAGATCACGAGAAGATGAGCGTGCGATGAAAATATTGGCCTACACAACTAGCATGATTCCCTTTCAGGACAAATGTCAAACGGGATTGTTGTGGAAAGTCAACGGCACCAAGTTTCCAGTAAGCGACGTCAATGCGCTTCGAAGATTAAGGTGTCAAGAAAGAACGATGGATAAGAATCCAGTCATAGGGGAAGCCTATTATGATAAGATCAATGAGTATGAACAAAAGAAGTTTGTCCAAAAACTGAGAGACTCTACAGTTGTGCTTTGTACACCAACCAACTATGATCGAAAGTTCAGGACATGTGTGGCTCACCGAATCAGCGAAATCCTGGACATATTAGATACATCCGAATGGAGTTGGGTACCGACTAAAGAAAACCCAGCCGATGATGCTACTCGAGATTCCGTTGAAGCAGACCTAACACCAAGAAGTAGGTGGTTAAACGGACCCAAGTTTTTAAGATTATCACCAGATCGGTGGCCGACAGAGTCAAAGAAAATTCAACCGGAAGACTTAGATGCAGATGAATTAGAAATGAAAATAGAAGTACATGCCGTTGAAATTTCAACGGCACCGACAGACATTGGAATCAATATTGATGAATTTGACGACCTGACAAATCCACTAACAGCTTCGGCGAAAACAATTAGGACTGAAGTAAACGATTGGTCGAAAGCCGAAGAACTTGACAAGTCGAAGATGTACTGGCTTAAAAGAAGTCAACAACAAAAATTCCTTGAAGGGATACACATTCTGAACAGGGGGAAGTTGGTTCCAATCAAAAGTCGGATCGTGAATTTAGGACCTATTCTGAAGAAAGGGATGTCAAGAATGACCAGAATGGTTCCCACAACACGATTAGCAAGACCGCGTGGTGCCCCTGAGTGTAAAAACTGTGATAACGGTACGGACTTCGGAGGGGAAGCTAAAGAATTACAAGCAATTATAGAACAATTAAAGAAGGATGACTTTAAACGACATGCCGTTGAAAACGAGATTCAATGGCACTTTACTCTACCGGCAAGCCCGCACATGGAAGGAGTCCGAGAACGGCTACTGGGGTCCGTGAAGATGCGAAGCGGAAAATTCAACGGCACCATCCCAATTATGAACCTTCAGATGGGAGAATTTTCAGATGATGACCTCATTTTGAGAAAACAATGGCGAAAGGCCCAGCGAATTGCTGATATGTTTTGGACTCGATGGATTAAGGAGTATTTACCAACTTTGGCCAAGCGAAGCAAGTGGCACAAGACGCATAAATCAATCAATGTTGGAGATCCAGTGATAATTGAGGACGACCAAGCCCCGAGAAACAATTGGCAGCAAGGCGAAGTCGTCGAGGTGTACCCAGGGCGAGATGGCGTGATACGTGTGGCGGATGTACGGATTTCAGAAGGGCATATCTACCAAAGTCCCTTCGTCAAGCTGTGCATCTTGGAAACCACACCCGCAACAGAAGAAGACATTTCAACTAAGTGAATAGTGAAAGTGAAAGTGCTAGATATAAAACTGTGTTTTATAGGGGGAAGAAATGTCGTGGCAGAATGCGCCTATTTAGAATTTATAAAATTTATTTATATGATATGATGATTTATATTTAATTTGTTTCTTAAAATTATGAAATTTTGTTAATTATTTGATTTAATGGAAATGCCGTTGAATTCAATGGAATAATTCAACGGTACAATGTAAATAGGATAATACTAGTATTGAATTCAACGGAAGAATTCAACGGAATAATTCAACGGTACAACGTACAATAAGATAATGTTAGTATATAATCAACGGAACCAACGGCATAGTTTAATAATTTGTTAATTTTCAAAGTATAATAGTTAAAAATGTAATCTACTGTAATTTATTGAAATATTTGTTAAAATGCCATTGAAATTCAACGGAATCTGTAATGCCGTTTAATGCCGTTGAAGGTGGGTTCCATGAGTCCGACCCATCTAGTACTTAAGTCGATGCGCAAGTCGCATCATCATCATTTGCCCGTTCGACACGGAACGAACAACATCTCCGAGATAACTTCGTACCATTCTTGTAACTGTATATACGTCCTAAGGATAAATAAATCTCAACATTATTAGTAAAATAAGCCCGTTTTAGAGCATTCAACGGAATTGATTGAATCATCGAATTGCCATTAATAGGGAGTTTACTAGTAGTCAAATTAGACCGGATAATCCAGGAAGGACATTCCGTTGAAGAGATCATTTTGATCCGTCATTTTGATTAGTCATTTTGATCCGTAGCCTTACAACCTACGTATTTTTGAACCACTGAGTTATTAAAGTGAGTTAAGTCTTTTAGTGACGGAGTTCTACTTAGGAAGGAATTTGTAGAAGTAGTGTTCTGCCGTCACACAACTAATATTGTTTAAAAAAATGTTGTTTCATATTTTAACATCATTCTTTTGAAACTGCATTAAAATTAATAAGTTTGTAGTCACGGTCCCAACAATCTGTAAAATTTAAACAATTATTTTCAAAATTACTCGACTGCAGTATCCGAAATTTTTTAAATTCACCGGTCAAATTAGTCCCAGATATACTCTGAAGAAATCCGTCTCTATCCAAATTGGCTTCAAGTTTGCGTAGCTCAAAAGCAAGTGATTGTTCTCGTTAAACTTGTCGGCTTTTTGAGACGATTTGTCTTCACAGTTCTCAACAAATTCGCCACTTTGGCGGCCAATCTGCGATCCCATTTTGCAAATTATGAAAACTAGATAAAAATACCCAATCACTGTTACAACATCAGACGATATTCCTCTCAGATTTGCTAGCAGACGGTTAGAAAACGAGGCTACAAAATATGCCGAAAATACCACCCGGGTGACACTATGTGCCATATCGATAACGAGGCAAGTACCAAACAGGCGAGTAAATGAGGACACGTTTTGAACGAGGCGCGAATATAGCTGGATTTTGATTTCCATTGGGGTACAGTGATACTCTTGCAAATGCTCCAGAATTTCTATATACCAATTTAGAAAGCAGGTCAGTAGGAAGAGGAAGATGACGTGGATGTATCCGATCGTGACTGGTATTGACATGATGCAAATTGCGGTGATCGATGCTGCACAAAAATACTTGAATTTTTTATTTTTATTTATTTTCAACCTGCAATATTTACAACTTATTAGTGAATAACTCACCGGCAGTTTCATGTCCTACGTTTGTATTTCCTACGTAGCCTTCCCACATGTAAATACAAGCGATTCAGCATGCCCCAGCTATAATGAGTTCCCAATGAAGCCTGGTTTCATATTTTTTACGCATTCTTGGAATCGTTTTGATGAGACAATTGGATTTTGCAACGTCCAAAAATGTGAAAAATTCTTCGATTAAATTAACGAATTCGACGTTAAATTGGGCGAATTTATTTCTTCGAAGAAATATTGTGAGTTGAATTAACACTGTCGTAAAAATATGGACAGCCGCTTTAATTATGATGATAGCATAGAAAGTGCTAGACATTACTCCCAGCTCTTCGTCCCATACTTCCGGGATTTTTGGTTGGTGTCCTTTAGAGAAGGCAAACAATACGGAAATGTCGGCAATCGTGACGACGACAAAAATCAGGGATGGCAGACATAGGGCAGTATTAGAACACTTTTTGCCCTTACTTTTATTGCGGTTGGAAATTGGGAATTGGAAGTAACCGAAAGTTTGATACATTTTCAGAACAGTTGTATCCATTTTTAGAAAGTTAAAAGATTTGTTGTTTGCGGTTCAGCATTTCTACCTGGATGCAATAAATTTAGAAGACTATTTGCAATTTTGCAAGCATGATTAATTGCAGGGGCTACGTCAAACTGTGGATATATCGATTTTAAAATAGATATTAATAAATTGGCAATTACTTATCATAAGTACTTCGCAATTGCAATGCCTAAATTTAATTTCAGGACATGCCTAGTATTTACTCTTTATGTGATGCTTATTTAAGTAGGTCATCTAGATTGGGTGTTATTAAATAGCGTTTGGCAATGACTTAAGTTAAATCATGCAAATTATGTAAGAGTTATCCCTTTATTAGAACGTTCACATGTTCTACAGAAAAACTGTTGCTGAACATGGAGGTATGACTTCAAAACAATTTAATGTTATGAAATACAACAAGTATATAATGTCAACGCCTGAATAGATTCATTGATTCGCCTGAATCCAGGTTATAAAGAAAATATCTAAAGTTACGGACCGTTCGCCAGCTTGGTTTATTGTTAGGACTGGAAGATTTTTTAATGATCGCGAAGGGTAAAATTCGCAATAGCAAACGCAAGTTTAAACCCTAAGAGGCGTCGGCAATTAGCATTTAATGTGCTACCGCCGCCGGTCGGACTATCTCTAATTATGAGTAATTCGGCCACCCCACAAAGTGCATGCATTCAAAGTTACAGATTGATACTACAAGTGACAAATGATTTTATTAGAATGATTTCTTCCCAATACAGTTAAATATGCCATTCTACATTTTCTGTGTGTACAAGGTAGCAAACCAAGTTTCAATGAAATTAATGCATCATTTGCCGGTTTGGCGAGACATAGACTTTAATAATTGAAATGTTTCATTACATTAATGGATTTACATTTTGCTTTGGAATTACTCGTATCATAGTGACTTAACAATTGAAATGATTAATAGGCTCAAGTAAAATAAATACAAGACTAGGCTAAAATCTTTGCCTTCTAAAGTAACTAAGGTATTATGCGATAATAATTTTTTTTATTTGAATTTTTGTCTAAATTTTTCATGTCTTGTCGCTGTTCTGAAACTGCATCAACACAATCAAGTTTGTCGTCACGGTTCCTACGATCTGCAAAAAAATTAAACCTTAGCTAATTTTTAGCAAATCTTCAGTAAATATAAATAAAGGTCAATTTTACCGGTGCAATAAGGCCAAGATTAACCCTAAAGTAGTCCGTCTCTATCCAAATCTGTTTCATCTTAACGTTCCTCGAATTTACCCAGAAAAGGCGCTTGTGTTCGAAAAACTTATCGCCCTTTAGAAATCCAGGCTCGTCACAACTCTTGATGAAATCGCCACTCAATCTGCCCAGTTGGGATCCTTTCTTACATAACATGAAGACCAAGTACAAGTAGCCAACCACCGTCAACGTGTCAGACGATATTCCTCTCACAGTTTTGTAAGGTAGCGCCACACTTGAGGCGAGAAAGTAGGACGAAAATATAATCCGCATGACACTATGTGCCATATCGAAGACGATGCTGGTGCCGAAAAAGCGAACAAATGCAGAAACATTTCGACCAAGCCGCGAATAAAGTTCAATTCTAAGTTCAACCGGGGTGGAGTGAGACTCTTCTAATCGGCGCAGCATTTCAAGGTACCAGTTGAGAAAGTAGGCAAGTAGGTAGGGGAAAATCGCTTGGATGTAACCAAACGTGGCTGGGATGACGGTAAGATATATTGAGGTGGCTGATCAAGAACAGAAACAAATTAAGGAAACTTATTTAACAAATTAGGTGTAAAAATTAACGAAATTATGAGTACTTACCTCCACGCCCTGCATCTGTTAAGTAGCCGTGCCATAGGTCGGTGATTAGTAACGTGCAAATAAATCCGACCAGAATGACTTCCACCTTGAGACCGAACTCGTACCTGTTTCGCTTAATCTTCAAAGATTCTAGACCCGTTGGATTTGAAAATATAGAAAAGTATTCAACCAGAGTGGTGAAATCGGTGTGGAATTGCAATAACTGTTTTCTTCCCAAGAATATCCTGAATCGAACAAATATGGAGGTGGCGGTATGAGCTGTAGCCTTCAGGACGAGGGTGGAGTATAAAGTGGTGCTGATTAATTTTCGAGTAATATTTGTATCCCCTTTTCCTTGCACGTATCCAAATAAGTAGGCGAAGATCATGAAAACGTCGACAATAGTGATGAAGGAAAATAATAGGATTGGTATGTATTGGATTAAGTTGGGTTTATTATTTTGATTTTTTTGACTTTTTGGTTGATTTGGTAGAGAAATTGGGTAATAGCCTAAGATCTGAGATATTCGTAGCACCGAGGTGTCCATGTTTGTGGGCGAATTAAAGCTGAGTGGCGATTAATGAAGAAAAATTAAATAGTTACATACATCGGTTGACGTATGCACGTGGGTATTTGCGTAGCAATTTGGATGCATTATTATTTATTCCCAAATAGCATTTTTACTTGTACGCAATTTGTAAATATGGATATAGATATTTACCGATATATTTTATGGTGAAAGAGGCAATGAAATATTTTTCAATTACGCTAATTGACAATGTTGAAATGAGTTTGGTTAAATTTAATTTGACATTTACTCAATTTAATAATTCGTTTGTATAAATGTATGTAAGTATGTATTGCCATCTTGCTTTTGTCATAGAGTAAGGAGTATAAAATTTATGTATTTATTTATCCTCAATTTTAATTTGTGTATTAGCAAATATGTAGTGCAACATGAAAATGAATGAATATACAAACTACATACACAGTAGTAGAAGGAAACTTTGGTAACGAATCTTTGTTTAAAAGTACTTACTAAAAGTAATTACTAGACAAGGATATAAAAATACTGGATAATTAGCTTGAATAGATTTAACGGAAATGATGTATCCTGATTTACTTGCATTAAAAAGTAAAATTTCAGCGTAATTAATAATTTAAGGATTCCAGTAAAGTAAATGTGTTGTCTTGTAAATGAAACCAGACTTGTATAATTGCCATTTATTTTTCCTTTAAAGATTTCAATATGTTAATCTATTTCCATTTTTGAAATTAAATCAAATTGTGCTAAGCATTGGTGATATGGTGATATAATTAATTTAATTTAATTCGTTAATTACATCATGATGTTTATTACGAACACTGTATAAAATACATGCATGTTTATGCAAATAAGATCTTATTGCCTAACTATACATCATTTAGCAATCAGATCCTTCTAATTCCTAGCATGCAGTCGATTTGTCGCTATTTTGAAACTGCATCAGAACAATCAAGTTTGTCGTCACGGTTCCAATAATCTGTCAACAGCAAAAATACTTAAACAAAACTACCAATCTTCACATAACGATCTAAAATAAATAAACTCACCGGCGCAATAAGGCCAAGATTTACTCTAAAGTAGTCCGTCGCTATCCAAATCCGTTTCATCTTAACGTTCCTCGAATTGATGAGGAAGAGGCGATCGTTTCCGAAAAACTTCTCCCCTTCTGGATAATCACACCTACCACAATTCTGGACGAAGTAGCCACTCCAACTTTCAAGTTTTGACCCCTTCCGACATATCATGAAGACCAAGTAGAAGTAGCCGGCTACAATAAAAGCGTCAGAAACAATCCCCCTAAAATTTTGGTACGACAACGTTACACTTGTGGCAAGAAAGTAGGCCGAAAATATAATGCGCATGACACTATGTGCCATATCGATGACGATGCAGGTGCCGAAAAAGCGCACAAATGAGGCAACATTTCGCCCCAATTGGCAATAAAGCTTGACTCTATGTTCCACCGAGGTGTTGTCAAACTGCACTAATCGGCGCAACATTTCAAGATACCAGTTGAGAAAGAAAGTTAAAAGATACGGAAATATGGCGTGGATGTAGCCAAGCGTTGCAGGGAAGACGATAAGGAAAATTGATGTTACTGGGACACCATTAAAACAAATTACTGAAAAATTGTTACTTATACTGCAAATTTAAATAATTATTAAAATTTACCTCCTCGCGAATAATCTGTCAAGTGGACGTGCCACATGTCCGCAATGAATATTGCACACGATATTCCTGACAAAATTACTTCAACTTTAAGACCGCAGTCGTACCTGTTTACGTGCGCGGTTTTCAAAGAACCCGGGGCCGCGGGTTTTGGCAAAGTTGCAAATTGTTCAGTCAGAGTGGCAAACTCGGTGTGAAATTTAAATAGTTTATCTCTTCCGAGGAAGATTCTTAACCTGATAAAAACTGAGGTTGCAATATGAGCTGTGGCTTTTAGGAACAAGGTAAAGTACAAGGTGCTTGTGAATATTTTAGTCTTTCCATTTTCTGACTGGTTTCCTCCTGTTACGTAGGTAAGAATTATGATCATGATTATGTCGACGGGAATAAAGAGGAAAAAGAGTAAGGTTGGTATGTACAGTGTCGGACAGATGTCTACGTCCACATAGTCGCGTCAATTTCATTTTCAAATTGTCACTGAACTACTGAACCAATTTTCATCATTGATATATCAAATTCTCACAAATTTAACGTAATTTCATAAAACATATGAGTTATTTCTGAAAATTCTGGGAAAACTGAGAATCATAGTGCAGAGCGAGAGAGGATGAAATTTGAGCGGACAAAAGTCTACGTCCACTTCACTTTAATTGTCAACAACAAAAATCTCTCCAATTTATAAAATCAGGTAACTTAATAAATCTATCAATAACATATGCCGCATTAATTTTTAAATAATTTTCTTCCAGAAAAATATGATGGCGTCGACACGCAAGGAAATTCCTATCGCTATTCGAGATCTTGTCATTCAGGACTGGAAGGGTGGACAAAAAGGGGGCTGTCGCAGAGACAAATATGGACCGACTTGGACGACGATTTGTCTTCCAACAAGACAACGATCCGAAACACTCTGCCAAGTCCACCATGGAACACTTCAAGAAAAAAAAATTCCGAAGCTAGAATGGCCTCCCCAATCTCCAGACTTGAATCCCATTGAGCATCTGTGCGACCACATTGAAAGAGAAATAAGAAAACAATCTTTTTCAGGAATTCCGGGCCTTAAATCCAGAATTCGTGAAGTTTGGGAAACCATTTCTGAAGATGTGACCAAGAATTTGGTAAACTCAATGACTCGACGCCTTGAAGCCGTCCTTAAAGCGAACGGAGGCCCAACCAAATATTAAAAATTAATTGTTATAACATTCCTTATAAATTACAGTTTTTTTGTATGTTTTCTCTGACTGGACGTTGACTTTTGTCCATCCAATTGTTTTCATTTTGAATTAAAATACATCTCTGGCCTAAAATAAATTTTTTAGCGGAAAACTAATAATGTGCTATGAAATTACGTTAAATTTGTGAGAATTTGATATATCAATGATGAAAATTGGTTCAGTAGTTCAGTGACAATTTGAAAATGAAATTGACGCGACTATGTGGACGTAGACATCTGTCCGACACTGTATTGGAAAAAGGGAAAGTGTTTGTTCCCTTTCTTTGGAATAGTTTGATTTTTGTGAGAACTCAAAGGAATTGGATAATAACCTAAAATCTGCGAAATTCGTAACGCGGTTGTATCCATGATGGTTTTAGAAAATGCAACTTGAGCTTTAATCTGACGTTTGGGACTAGTCTGATATTTAAATAGGAATGTCAACATACTTATTTATCTAGCAAATTGTAAATAGGAACTGGAAATTGGAATGAGAAAGTTTTCAATTACGTAAATTGACCATATTTTTGGATAAATGTGATTTGACGTTTAATTCATGAAGTGTGTAATTTGTCAAATCATTTGACTCAAATGCACTTATTAATGCCGCTAAATGTAAAGTGGAATTAATTAAGTTAAGTAATTATGTTTAGCAATTTGCTTCCAATTTGGAATAAGATGAAGTTGGAATGACAGTTTTCAATTATGCAAATTGTTCATATTTGAAACGATTTGGAATAAATGTAACGTTTAATCCATGAAGTGTATAATTTGTTATATCTGTGAGTATTTTATTCCAAAATATGTATTCTGTATGTTCAATTCTGAGTTGGAAGTTAAGAATTTATCTCTCAACTTTAATTTCTGGACAAATATTTAAATACGTAATTGGATTAAATTAATATGTCTAATGATTTTTAGTTTGTGTAAAATTATTCGCTCGAAAATAATATTAAAGAAATTATGCGAAAGTATTGAAATTTTTCAAGGTGACTGCATTTATTAACCTATCTCATTACAATGCATACACAAAAGCTTAATGTACAAATTACGTTTATTTGGATTACTATTTAGTACAATTTTCTCGGTTCATCTCTTATCTTTGCTACCAATTTCCTCACAATTGGATCCAGAAATCTATCCTCCTCCACAAACTCTGCCATTTCCTTAATTTCGTTAAAAAACTGTCTACTTTCCCCCGACATTTGCAGTTTCAACCCCTCTCTCTCCTCCCTAATTGTAACTGCTTGCCTCACCGCAATCATCAATCCCGCCACGACCTGCTCCGTCAATTCAAGCACGCGTACGCAATCCCTCGCCGCGATCGTGCCCATGCTGACCTTGTCCTGGTTGTGGCATTCCGTCGACCTAGAAAACACCGAAGCGGGCATCGTCCCCTTCAAAGCTTCCGCCGTCCAGGCAGATACGCTAATCTGCAACCCCTTTAGCCCATGGTTGATCGCTGCGCGTTCCCCGACACACCCTGACAGATTTGATGGCAGCCCGTTGCTGTAGTTTGGATCTACCAAACTGGCCATCTGCCGGTCCATGAGGTCAGCCATGTTGGCTACTTGGACCTTAAGGGTGTCCATCGCTGCCGCAATGTGACCGCCGTAAAACATTGCGCCGTGAAAAACCCTTCCGCCATCCGCGACATCGATGATGGGATTGTCGTTCGCAGAGTTTAGTTCGCCTTCAATAAGTCCTTTGCAAAAGGGGAGAAGGTCTTCTAAAACTCCGATTATGTGCGGGGCACATCGAGTCGAGTAGCGGTCCTGGATGCGGTGGACTTTACTGTAGTTTTGCGGTGCGGTGGAAATGAGTAAGTCTTGGCGGATGCGGGCGGCCACCCGCTGTTGGCCGGGGTGAGGTTTGACGGAGAAGAGGGTCTCATCATAGTGGAAGAGGTTCCCCTTCAAGGCTAGAATTGTGAGGGAGGTGAGACGCGTGGCGAGGTGGGAGATTTGAAGAGCTCGTTGGTACGCGAGGCAGGCGACACCGGTCATGGCGGAGGTTCCATTGATCAGGGCGAGGGCTTCTTTAGGGATTAGGGTGAGTGGGGTCATACCAACCTGGGAGTAATTAAAGATAATTAATAGAAAATTAGATTTTGTAAAAAAAATTGAGGTTTTTAAAATTGGCGCATTTTTTATGACTGAAATTTTATAGTAAATAAAATCTTAATACTTTTGCCAACGCGACTTTTGCCGGTATGACTTCCCCTTGATAAAGTACATCGCGGTAACCACACAGCACCGCACCTATGTAAGATAGCGGCGTTAAATCTCCACTCGCCCCGACGGACCCCTCTTGCGGAATTCTTGGGAGAACATCATTTTTCAAAAGTCCCGCAATCTGTTCCAGCAGTTCCAATCGTACTCCGCTATACCCTTTCGCTAAAGAAATCAACCTCGCCGCTAAGATCGCTCTGGTCTGCTCGGCATCAAAATAAGCGCCTGATCCGCACCCATGAAACTGGATGACGTGGCTGGGTAATTCCGCGATCAGTTCGGGAGAGATGGTGACCGTGCAGGACTCGCCAAGGCCGGTGGTCACACCGTAAATAACGTGACCCTCCTTGACCAGTTTTTCCACCGTGGCTGGTCCGAGACGAATCCGGTCGACAAAATCTTGCTGAGACGATAATTCGCAGATTGCCTCTTGGGAGGATAATCGTGCAATGTCTTCTATCGAGATGTGGTTACATCCAATTGTTACCTTGTTGGAGAGATAGTGACCCATTGTTGAAATTGCAAGGTTAAGATTTTGCAAATATATGTGCAAATTGAGAAATTAATGACAAGTTCGTTATTGCTTATGAAACTCCAACTGAACGAAACCTGTTTATATATGGAAGAATTACTTGGCAATGTACCTAATTTATGCAATGTGCATCATCCTGTCGCACGTATGTAACCAGATCCACTTCTGCGAATAATATATACTCCGAAATCATTTATTAAATGTTTTTTTCCGCTTGGTGCTTTATCATTTCCAACTAAATGTTGGACTTCCGACCCAGATTTAAATGAATACGTAGTGTAAAAGTTATACGTATGCAATGTGTTGTTGTTGTGATCGTAATTGTGCAAATATTCATATTCACGTAATTTATTGATTTCCAACTGCGCTTTTAACAGCTGTAAACAAGATTAGTGTTGCATATTATGCAAACTGCCTACCTAATTGTGAGTCAGAGTGAGTATGTTGTTATTTCCAGGAACGGATTTTTTGTTGATCTTTACCAGATAGAATTTAGCATGAACTCGTCTGCAATTATGGCACAGATCACAATGCATAATGTTTAAAGCAGCAGACGGATTTAATCAGCGTCAACAAAAAATAAGTTCCATTGTCCAACTTTCCAATTAATCGTGATCAAAAGGCGTCAGTGGAGAAATAAACGTGGCCAGAATCGCGTATTATTTTATTTGTAGCCGGTCTAGTATTATATTATCTACACTTGGGAGATTAACTAACATATTTCTTAATAATTTAATCTCATAAATAAATTAGTATTACGTATTTGCTATAACGAAACTTGACAGAAATGTCGTTGGGATATTGAGACAACTTTATACTACTGTTGCGAGTAATTAATATCATACTAATTTTACTTAAGAATCTTTTTTCAATAAAATTTTAAGTAATGAAATTATAAATAAAATATATATCTTCAATTACAGTAAATTTGGGCGTGTTCGGCCTCGGAGCGGTGATTGCATGGACATCACCAGGACTTGCGTCTCTGTCCAAAGATTTTAATTTATCTTCAGTGTCTATAGCATGGATTACATCGATAGTAAATGTAAGTGGCAATAATTATTACTAAAAAATATATTAGAGGTAGTTAAAGTTAACGATTAAAGTCGATTAAAAATTTTTCATAATTGTGATCAGCAAAAACTAATCGTCTGTTTTTGACGGTTATTTTTTTAAACAATCAATTACAAACTTGATGATCGCATACCTTGACTACTCTTACTAAATAAGATATAATAAATTTGTATTATTTTTATTAAACCTGCTACAGATTGGAGGCCTCATATCTTGCTTAAGTGCAGGATTCGTAATGGACAAGTTAGGAAGAAAATTATCCGCCTTATTCGCCACAATTCCCACCCTGTTGGGCTGGTTGGTGTTAATATTTTCCAAAAATGTTTGGATGTTATACATCTCCCGGTTTATTTTGGGGTATGCGGCATCCTTCTATGGCGTCGTGGGGCCAGTTCTGGTCGGGGAAATAGCAGAACCGAAAATTAGAGGGGTGTTATCAAATATGTACGGGATATTCTTAACTTCTGGGATGTTATGCAGGTTTGTAGACAGAAAATTTATGAAAAGAATGGTTTTCGGATTAAAAATATTTATTACATAAATTTCTAAATTTTTTTAGTTATGTCGTCGGAAGTTTTGTGGATTGGCAAATGCTCTCAATTATATCCGCTATAATTCCAGTGGTTCAATTTTTCATGTTAATCTTTACCTCGGAATCGCCTCGTCATCTCCTTCATAGAGGGAAATATGAGAAAGCAGCCGAATGTCTGGCATGGTACAGGGGTGTAACGAGATTGGAGGATGTTGAGACCGAAATTAAAGCGGTATTTTTAAATTTTTGTTATATATTTTGAAATAGCAAGTGTAATAATTGTTTTTTGATTTAGATTCCAGCCGCCAATGTTTCCAAAAGTGATGGAAATCTTAGCCTCAGAAAACTATCAATCTTTCAACGAAACAACGCAATGCCACTGGTTCTATGTGTTGCGTTAGTCTTCATAGAACAGTTGTCCGGTTTTGCCGTGATAGTGTCATATACCGCCGACATTTTCAAATCTGCCGGTCATACTGCGAACGGAAATACCTTGGCGATAATATTTGGAGGGTTTCAACTTCTCGCTAGGGCCTTATCGTGTCTCCTTATCGATAAGGCGGGTCGACGACCACTCCTCTTAATGGGGGAGGTGGGCATGACGGTGTCTTTGGGAATTTTGGGAACATATTTTTACTTTTTTGAAAAACTAAATACCGTTCTGATCTCGTCATGGGTACCTGTGATATGTTTGGTAGTGTACATATGCATGTTCAGTGTTGGGATTGGACCAATATCGACGACAGTTATGGGTGAAATATTGCCGCAAGAGATAAGAGGTGGGAGAAATGTATTTTTTAGTATTTTGAAAAATTTTGTAAAATTTTATTACAATTTCTTGAAATTTTATCAATTTTTTTGAAATTTGTAGGAGTGGGGTCAGCTCTGTGCACAGCAGCTTTGCGGGGTTCAGCGTTCACGATAACGTTCGCATTTGAAGGTGTGAAGGACCAGGTTGGAAGCTATGGCGTTTTTTGGATTTTTGCAGGTGTCTGTGCAATTGGACTTATTACGATTTATTTTTGGATACCAGAGACCAAAGGGAAGAGTTTTGAAGATATTAAAAGTTTGTTTTTGGACGTTTAAAAGTATTTTCTTAGTGATAATGTGTATTAGGTTTCTGTATTAATTTACTTATTCACCATCTTTTTATAATCTTTATTCTAATCTTTTTTACTATTTAAATAAACTGTAATGAAGTTAATCTGGCGTGCCTGGCACTACCATGATGACCATAAACTAGCAAAAATAATAATTTTATTACGAATTAATGTCACAAAAATCGACAACCATAATCGCAAAATCAACCTTAAAATGTCATATGCACATAAGTAGATAATACAACGATCGCCTCAAAGTTGGTTATGGAACTTAAGATTAAACAGACTGAGTTTGAAATATAATGCATACTTTACACATTTAGGTTGGAAAGAGGTACTTGTCCTTAAAAATGAGGACGACATTGACTTTAATTCCAAGGAGATGAATAAAGATAAAATTACTGATCAAACTTGCATAAGTTAATATTTTATAGGAAGGAATGATTACTGTGGATATTTCTTGGATTGAAGTATTAACTAAGTTATTAAATAATTGTCAATATCCCTATTCCAACTATTCCAAGTAATGTTAAGCCATGTGGTTAGATTTGCCGACTTTTATTCCACAACATGAAATGAAAACTAAATGTTAAACCAATAAACTTTCCAAATATCTGATAAAGACGTATTTATTGACAGATCGAAATTAATACAAAATTTACAGAAATACGATCGATCTTGCAAATAAAAAACTGGCATTGAATTTAATTCTCCTTTCTCATCTTACATTAATCGCTCCAGGCATGATTTGTCCTGGATAAAACTGACTCGAAAAAAGTTCCGAATTTAAAACTAATTAGTTAATTACTTTTTTGCAGTTAAAAAACTTCGTAATGGACTACAAAGAAATTTGGCTCGGTCTGAAAATATATTCCAAAGGATATTCCTACCTGTGGGAGTACCCTATGTACTTCAATTTTGAAACGAGGCGCGCCTCTCATATTCCCCGCAACCATGTCAGGTTCAAGGTGTGGTCATTATTTGTCGGAATATCCATGTTTCTCGCACTCGTGGGATCATTACTTTGTCTCCTCTGGCTAAATTTCGTACAAAGCGGAATAAATAATGTCACAATAGTGGAAATTTTCGTTTGTTTCTTTGTCTTGATTTTAGGAATATATGGATTTAGCGTGTTCCTCTGGCTCTATATTTTACTTGAAGATGCGACCACAATTACGAACCAATTCTGTGCTATGTTTGACAACTTTTTTGAACAAGGTAAATAAGGAAAGACTTAAAAAAATATTGTTAATTGTTTTCAAAAAATTGCAGGTAAAACTACGGCAAAACCAAAGACAAACAATCTAATCCGAAAGCAGACTAATATTTTTAAGATGAAAGACACAGAACTTATAGTAAAATTTCTTCAAGGGGGAATGGTTTACTATGTAATTTTCCCCTTTGTTTTTGCCCCATTTTTTATAATATTGGAAGTGGATCCTCCCTATATTTTATACAAATTGGTTTTGGACTCTTTAGATGTTAAAGTTGAATCTGTAATAGTAGAAATATTGGTGACTCTTGTCCGATTAGGGTATATTTTTACATGTACATTTGAAGGATCGCGAATGTTTGCATTTTGCGTGTTATACTTGTTATTGCGAGTTTGTGGATTTTCTACCGTATTTAATAAGCTAATTGTCACACTGCAAGGTGTGAAATCTGGTCAAGAATATTTTTCCCAAGTTGAGAAATGTTTCCAATATTTTAACATTTTTCGCATAATTTTGCAACATTGTCGTGTCGAAACGATGAACATTTTGTGTCTGGGCAGTATCACAATTTTTGGGCTGACTGTGTTAAGTAATTTTGCAACGATTAAAATACACGGAGTTTTTAATGTGATATTTTACCTTATTTTTGCCTCTATTTCGACCGGGGTATTTACCATAATTCCAAAACTTATTTCTATTGTGGTTAAATGTGGGGAGGGTGAGAGGAAAGTGATTTTGGGATTTAGGGAGATAATTAGATATTATTTAAATAACAAAAGTGAGAGTAGGAGGGATAGCATAAGTTATAAAATTCTAAGAAAACGTACTAAATCTTTGTATCCGATAGGGTTTGGAATTGGCATGGGTAACTTTGCATTAAAAGTTTGCACGATGGAAGGAAAGAGTGGGATTTATGAACTAATTGTGGGTCACACGATTACATGTTTATTGTCGATAAGAATAGATTAGATGTTTGATAATCATATGGTTAGAAATAAATTTTTTACTTAAGCTTACATAATATACCTTTATGTTCCCAATTCATGGAAATCTTCCGCTCGGAAATCAAAACTGTAATATGTTTATATAGATATGAGAATGAGATAATTTTGAAAAATAGATAAAAACAATTTTTGGGATTTTCTTGACACTTTATAAATTACATTGAATATTTCATATAAAGATATGTGTGGCTTCAAAATTAGAAAAAGGTTTCTCAATTACGTATACCTTAAAGATATAATTATGATTTGTACTTATTAATTAACTTAGTTAACAAATCCTGAGAACGTCCTTGACACAACAAATAAATTTAGTAAATTTAATTTGAAATGGTAAATTTAACCACAATTTTTCACCCGAGGAAAATCAGGTTAGGCACACATATACATAAATTTCTAGACGAGTAATCCGTATATTAATCTGCATATTTACGTATTTATATATATACACGATCGAAACTTTAAAACTATTGCGGACTTGAGATAAATTGATCTGTTAAAAGTTGCCTAATTAACTACACACTCGTAGTTTTCGTAAACTTTTTCTAACATGAGTTGCATTTTGAATTGTTGCAATTGTGCTTTCGCCCATACCAATTTCATCATACATTTAGCATCAATTTATTCATGTTTAATAATAATTTATTATAATATTTAAATAGTCACAAGGGTATTAATAACAAGTTCTAATTATAATGTTGATGATTTGCAACAGTATTCAAATTTCCGACTGGTTCACAAATTGATAAATTTCCCACAGTTAAATCATCAACTGCATCATTTTCTCCTGTAATTTGAGCACGAATAGCATTTCTGTTATGCACTCTTGTCCAAACGATAGGATGATCTGCCCCCATCAATTGTTTAGACAGGGTACAAATTTCTTCATAAATTTTTAGCGATTCCTCCACCCTACCCGACTCTCTTAGCGATTCCGCCAAACCATGCTTTGCTTGCAAAACTAAGGGATGATTGTTCCGCAGTGCACCAGCAGTTTGTAAAAATTCGCAAATTTCTGTCAATTTTGCAACCACCACATTCTTATTAACTTCACAGCTTGGCAGTGTACACGCAATGTTGGTTTGGGTTTCCAACGTTGATAAGTGCAATGGTCCCAGTTGATCTTGCTGAATTTTGAGGACGCCTTTCAACAGCTCCATCGCTTCTCTCGGTTTGCCCAGCGATCTTAGCGCCATAGCAATTCCGAACGAAGAGGACGCCGTGCAATAATCACGCTTTCCAAACATCTCCACTCTTTTCGCAAATATTTTACGATGAAGCGACAGCGCCTGTTCAAACTCGCCGCCCTCTTGTGACGCATGCGCTTTGGTGTGTTGTGTCAGCAAAGCGGTGGGACTGTCTTCCCCAAACGAGGTGTCCAAAGCTTTTAATAATTCGTCACAAATTTCTAAGCCGCCCTTGCAATTGCCCAACTTCATTTCCGCCCACGCCAAATTATTCCACGTTATATATTCGCCGGATCGTATAGTTGCTATATTGTCCGGTTTTGCGGGGAGGGTTGTCTCGTTTTTTCGCCGCTCGATTAAAAGTACGTCTCGAAAAATGGCGGATGCTTTAAAAAAATCACCTTGGTCTTGGTAAATGTACGCCATCATGCGTTTAGCGCCTGTTCCGATGGGGTTAAAAGGACCGTATTTTTCGGTACATTTGATAGTAACTTCGTCACAAAGAGTGACTGCTTCGGGATACTTTTTTTTGGAGCGGAGGACTTTGGCAAGTTTTGATTTTGTGTTTAGCATCAAGAGGTCGACGTCTTCTGTTGTACTTTTTTGGAGTAACTCGAGCAAATTTTGATACACTGCGATTGCTGCGTCGAATTGCAGTTTTTTCTCTAAATTGTCGCCGACTGAAAACTGCAGTTGTGTTATTGTGTGAATGTTGCAATAGTCGGATGTGTCAGATTGGGAAGATTTAGTTATTTCTGACAATTCTGTAAGAATATTGTGCGATTCGTCCAATTTTCCGAGTACTGTGTATGTTCTTGCTAAGTCAAGTTGTGGTAAAATTCGTTTCCAATCTGATGCCGGAAAGATGGCGGAGAAATCGTTACAGATTTCCAATCTTAAGGTGAGAGCGGCTTTAAAATTTCCCGCAACTTCTAAATCCGCGGCGTACGACGTTTTTAAATTATACACGTCATCATGCACAGGGCCAAGGACTTGTTGCAATTTAGGAATTGAGTTTTCTTGAAATTCAATCGCCGATTTGATATCCAGGAGGCACATTGATAAATCCATGGAAATTGAGTGGACCAAATGGGAATGTTTGTTGAGAAGCTCGTCTAAATTTTGGGAATTTAAGCCATGTTCCCAGCACGAAACAGCGTGATTTGTTTCCACTATGGCTATATGTTTTTTATACTTTTGCTTGAAATATTGCAAAAGTTCGTCCAAAATGTGAAACTCGCCGCCATCTTTGCGAATATGGAGTCGCATGACGTGTTGGACGAGTCGATGGATGTAAATTTCATATTCTTGATTGAACCGACACATTGAGTATTGTTCAATCAGGTACAACGTGTGTCCAACAACGTTGTGTAACAGCAAAGTTTTGTCTTCTTCGGTATCCGCGTATGGCAATTTTTTCTTTGAAACGCCCGCTTCTTGGCAGATTTCTGCGTAGGGTTTAGAAATTTCGAAAATCATGCTGCCCCAGATCGAATCGGGGGAAAGGTAAGCAAGCAATGACATGATGTAGATGGCCAATTCGCCGTAAATTTCATGTTGGCCGATCTTTTCAAAAGTGATTTTCCACGTGATAAATGTCGTTTTTTCGTACGAGTTTGAAGTTGAATTTAGCGGCAGGGGGAAGTCGAGAAGTTGCTGAGACATGTTTTGAAAGAGGGTAATGTATTCGGAGATGGAAAATGTGGTGCCAAGTTTTTGCCGGATTTTGTGTTCTTCTCGAATGTATGCGACGGCTTGTTGTAAAGCGAGGGGTAGATTTTCTAAAGTTTGGCCAAGTTTGGAGACATCGTGACTTTCTGGGTTTGTCGTGAGGGAATTTGTGATAAAATCGTGCGTTTCGCGGTCTTCTAAAACGTCAAGGTTCAGCAATTTTACGGAGTTATCCATGGAGGAAATTATGTCGCGATTTCTCGTCGTGAGTATAATATTTGGGAAGATGGCGTCCGGGGGGAGGTTGTTTGGGAGAAAGGCAAAAATGCCGTCGTCATCGTCGCGGAGGGAGTTTGCGTTGTCAAAGATGAATAGAACGGCGCAATCTTTGAAATAATTGTAGACGAAATCGACATATTCGGAGATGGGTTTTGAATCGGTACTTTGGAAATTTGGGTTGAGCTTTGTGGCCAGTTTCTTGAAACTTGTGCTCATTGAGAGGCTGTTTTCGGCCGTTATCCAAATTACATTTCCGTCGAAGAAGGAGTAATTGTCTTGAGCGTATTTACGAACAAGGTCACTTTTTCCGACACCGCCCAACCCAGCGATTATGATGTATTGTTGGCAATCTGGGTTGAAAAAAGTGTCAAGAATGAGGGAATGGATAGTTTCTAATTTCTGGATTCTTCCGGTAAAGTTAGAGACGGGTTTTCGGACTTCAAACCAGATTCCGTCATGGACAGGATTGGATTTGTTTCTTCTGCGAATGTGTCCCACTTGAGTGGCGAGATGGTCTGGAATTAGGAAATTGTAAATAATAAGGGTAGTCAAAGTATCTATTACTTAGGCAATCGATATTTTTTTTAATAAACTATTTTAAGGATTATCTAAGAATATTCATTATAATAGGGGTTCTCAAGCTATGCGATTATTATAGTAATCTTCCAAATAGAAAATTATTTCAATCAATTATAATCAGAAATAGGTTATAATCTTTAACTTTAACTATCCCTAATCTAAATATTCACATACCTTGACTGCCCTAATTATATCAGTAATATATTACAAATAATTTGTGAAAAGCTTTATATCAATTTATGAATAAAATACCTGCCAGTGCCAAAAATTTGCATTGTTTAAAAATGCACACGAGTCTTGCGAATGTCGCATTTGCTCCAGTTTCCGTGATCCAAACCTTCATAGTTTCCGAGACAATGATTTGTTTGTCATACTTTAAATCGATAAGATTTGCTATTTTCTTGCTTTCTTTTAGCTTCATGATGGATAAGACTCTATCCCACTTTTCCACGACGGGGTGATGTTTTTCAAAAATAAGTTTGCTAATAGCTTCCCCTCCTTGGCTCAAAACTGTTAAAATAATTGTCATTTTTACAACATTAATTAATTATTTAGGATTTCTTTACCAATAAAATCCGAAAATTTGACTTCGATTTCAACCCCAGTGTCCACACATTCTACCTGAAATAGTTCAAAAATTATTTTAAAAATGCAAAAAATGCATACATACATACATATATAAAACTTTGATATAAAAAGTAACCCACTTGCACCGGAACTTTTCCATACAATTCTTTGAACTTTGCATAAACCAAGTCAGAATTAATTCTGAATTCTCTCTCATGATTCAACATTTCCAAAATAATTCCACACTCTTCTGAAAACTTATCATCCAGGCATTTCACAATTTCCATCACTTTCTTCGTATTAAACGCAACTTTCTCCCCTTTCACGGTCGCATACAGCACTTCTGCCAGTACCAATGCGAGCGTGTAAACGTCCGATTTTTTGCTACACCCCACATCCGGACATCGATACGGTACACATCCCGCGACTGGTAGCAAATCTGATGAATTTTCCTGATCCGCAATTCTTCTAGACAATCCAAAATCTCCAATTTTCCACAAGTTTTTCGCCAAGAAAATATTGTCCGGTTTCAAATCACGGTGGACGATATTCATGTCGTGAATTGCCACGAGGGCTTTGCAAAGCTGGAGAATCATTTCCGGTATTTCTGCCGCTAAGTCGAATTCGTCCCGCTCGATGACCGCTTTCAACGTCGTGTCACAAAGTTCCATTTGGACGAAGAGGAAATTATTTGGAGAAACGATGCTCGCCGTGGAGGACGGGCTGCTGGGAAAGCGGAGCGCGTCATTTAAAATATTTTGCGAATCAGGCCCTTCCAACCAGCTAGTGTGGTATCGGACGATGTTGGGATGGTTGATGTGCTGCAAAAGTTCGACCTCTTGGAGGAGCAGGTTGACATCGTAATTTAAGTGAGGGAGCGCTTTTGCGATGCAGATTTGTTTGATGGCGTAGTGACATTTGTCCACGGCGTCTCTGGCTTTGTATACGGTGCCGAAACCACCTTTGTTAATTTGTGGGGGGATAAATACCAGTTGGGAATGGGTGGTCCAGGGGGATAACGGTGTGGTCATTGTGGACTAAGGGAAATTTTGTGTTTTTCTGAAATTTGAGGTGAGAAATGAAATGAAAAATAATTATAATAATTATAATTTTAAAGAAATTACAGATAATCCACGAATTTACATGGACTTACCTGGACTGCTTTTATAATTTACGTATACGTATGTATGTGTGGTTGTTGAATTTTTTGGTTGGACTTGGCCAAATTTATGTTGCAAAAATATACTCCAAATGCAAAAATTATTTAATGAGACGCACACTTGACAGTAAATGCCGCAGCTGAGTTGAATTACGTAATGGGAATGAAGATCGAGTGAAGCCGAACGAGATGTGGGTACGTACAGATCTACATCCGCCCATGGCTCATGAGTCACATTAGTTTTCATGGACAAGTTTATCTTTTTCATGGGTTTTTCTGTTAACTTATTTATTGTATGTAGGCATATCATAATGTACATACATACATATGTGATAAGCATACTATCGATTTGCAAAAATTTTTGTTACGATTTTTAACATGCCTGTTTCAAATACGTTTTTTTACTTCTATGTTTAACATAAAAACAACTGAATTAATGAATCGTGACATTGGTGAATCTCAATTTTTTAGTATCCTCGTCCTCATCGCCATCTTCTTCTCCGTCGTCCGGTGTCGTGGCTGCTGCGACCTGCGGAGGTAAAGTCGCTAGAATCTGGACTGGTTGAGGTATTGGTTGTTGTGGTGGTGGGGTTATCACTACTGGGGGAAGAGGCAAGGCTTGTTGGACGCCTTGTAATTGTTGACCGTTTTGAAATTGTTGGACGGCTGGGAGTTGGTGGACGCCCTGCAATTGTTTCATATCTACCCCCGCTAATTTTGTTCCATTATTATTTTTAGTCGCATTTCTCGCCGCTTGTTCCTGAGCCTCTGCCGTTATTTGGTCAGCCTGCTGTTTCAAACGGCATGGACCGTGTTGACTGGAAAAGTTGTTAATCCGTTGAAAATACTTGTCAGTAAACTAACTACTCCGGCCAAAGTTTCACCGGTTTGTTGCACCGGACCGATTTCTTCATCCTGTTTGGGTTCCTGGAATTGAGAAAGTTCCCTCAATTCATGAAAATCTGACACCATTTTTACCATTTTTCATAAATGATTCATATTTTCCCACATTTACATGTGGTCTAATTGGAAAAAGAGCTAAGTGCATTCTATCCTTAATATGAAAAAGAGCTTAGGATTAGTGCACTTTTGACAGTATGGAAAGGAGCTATGTGCACACTAAAAACTATTTAAATATATAAACATTAGAAAAACTAAAAATTACAAAATTACAAACTTAGAATTATGTTGATCTGAAATATTATTAATTATAGTTTTACGTCAATAATTATTTAACAAAATTTAAGCATTACCACTGGCTATTTTTGCAAGTTTATATTTTGCATATAGCTCTTTTTCAAATTAACGATCGAGTGCCCTTAGCTCTTCTTCATATTAAGGATATAATGCACTTAACTCTTTTTCGAATTAGGGAAAGAGTGCACTTAGCTCTTTTTCAAGTTACACCGACATATAGTAATTCAAATTTGCTCCCAAAATACCTAACTGTTAATGCCCAGACCATAAGCTGATATGAAATGTAACTACATTTAATCAGCATGCCTTATGTAGTTCTGTACGAAATAATGAGTACTCATGAGCAAAATCTTCCTTTACTTATTTAACAGAAATTTTTTATTAAAAGCATTCGTTATATACAATACAAAGTTCAACATGCGATTCCTCCCTTGTCAGTTGCTCCACACCGGGATATGTTGTGCTTTCATAATGTACCGTTTTAAGCGATGGGTAATAATTTTCCAGCGCCTTCAGGGACATAAGTGACCCCTCTGTCTCATTAACGAAAGGATGACTGCACTCCAAATGCACGTCTTGAAGACACGGAAGCTCCATCTTATTTGCCATTCGCCCGAATAAATTCGTGCAAAAAGACGTATCGACTAATCGCAGCGAGGAAATTGGCAAGACCATTTTTCTTCTACCCTCAAATTTTGGAGGTGAACATTGCACCATATTTCTAATTGGCCCTAATAAAGTTAAACTGTCAAGTTTAGGAAACTCGGTAAGAATCGAGTCAAACTCCCCACTCATGAAGGGATCGATTTGCAAGTTAATAATTTTAACTGCGCCGGGACAAAATATTTTCGGATGGGAGTGATTCGTAGGATTTTTTAGATTATTTAATACCAAGGTTATGTCGTCATTTCCACAAAAGTTCCACTCAGGGTGAGCCAAGTCGAAGAGGAATGGTTTGACAAGTCTCTTCTTCTCAGCAATGTTGCAATCTGCATAAATTTTGTCTGAATATGGTAACATGTCAGGCAGAATTGTTGTCGTGTTTAGTATCAAAATTAGTGCAAAAATTGATGTCAACATGGCAATAATTATGGTTAAACATTTCAATTTTAACAGGTGTGGCGTCACGTCAGTATCTAAAAGAATGTTTAAAAATAATTAGACTCCAATTTTACATTTATTTTAAACGGCCTTACATGATGAAGAGATTTGCTTATATTGCAAATTGTGCTGTAAAGTGGATCCTCCCTTCCGATCTTGCTGGAGGTACTTCTTGTGGTAGGTACCGGAGCGGCTGCTAAGGTTTCTGTACTAGAGTCTGGCAATTTTTGGTAATTATTTAACTGGTTGAAGTCCATTGAATGGGTTTTGATGGAGAGAATTCAGTGTTATCTGGACAGTGGTTGGATCTGATCTACTTACAAATATGCGACTACTTATCATAAATATTAAGTTTGTGTTTTGTTTATGTATGTATATATTTGTGCAGATAAGATAGATGAACATGGCTGTTCAGGCAAATCCATATTTCATCGTTTCTCATCTCGCTGGAATGCATTTTACATACGTTTTGAGAATCAAATTAAATCGTCCCCACTAAAATGAGAACAAGTTACTTTAGTAAGGTTTATTTCAAAAAATGCCTGACTTGTTCTTATAATTATAGCCAGTTCTTGTTACTGTAAAATAAATACAAAATGATTTCGCTTGCATTTAAGTATCCTGTATTCTATTAACTATAATGTTATCTAATCAAATTTTCGTGAATTATGCGTTGTGATTCATAACGATATGTAATCTAGATATTACAAACGTGTAGTAGAAATGCTGATAATAACAATTTAGCAATTAAATATTTCCACCCACATAAATACTTAAATTTGCTTGCGCTACAATTTACAACTCCACATCAACACGAAAAACGAATATGTGTATCTTTATTTGAAATGATTTAGTCAAATTGAGAAAAATCAATATAAAATTATATTCATGAAATTCATTATTATTATTATTATTATTATTATTATTATTATCATTCATTATTCATTCATCAAACTTTCGGAAACTGCATGTAAATTTACGTCGGCATATCTTTATAAACACAAAAGACAATTATTATTCCGGCGTATGTAAAAAGGTAATTTGCATCAGTTAGTTTGATTCGTCTTACATTTTGTGATAGTTGCATTTCGTGGTATTTCTTTTTTTGGGAAGGTGATTTTTTTATCCAATTGAAATGCACCAATTAGTTCGGAAGTATCGGTATCGCGTCGTAACAATTTTACGGAACGTTTACTTAAATATGCATCGAACAATTTTCTTGTTGTGACGATACTACTTTGAAAAACAATCGTTGTCATCGTGATATTCACACATATGTACACATGAAACAATGCAAAATTAGCTTGCATTTTATTCGAAAAAAACTATTGTATATTTTCCTAAATAAATTATACATTTGCAAATTAATATTTGATAAATGTCATTCTGAATTCATTGATGACATGTATGTACAAGTTTCACATTGCATTAAGCTAATACATAGTTTATTAACATTAAAAATGTAATTAAGATACGTACCTTAACAAGTAGTGTAATTTATTATCGAAAAATTTTTTTATTCAGAAATTAACTAAATCGAATCATACTTAAGACGTCACTAACAGTGACACACTATTCTTATTTATAAATCAAGCATTTCCTGCATACGGTTTCCTGCATTCACTTTTTTTATTTATGCAGTGCTGCATTCCACAATATGCGTATACAAACCAAATATGTACATGGGCTACGTAACGTGACTTAGATATCGTCGGTGTAACTTGAAAAAGAGCTAAGTGCACTCTCTCCCTAATATGAAAAAGAGCTAAGTGCATTCTCTCTCTAATATGAAAAAGAGCTAAGTGCATTCTATCCTTAATTTGAAAAAGAACTATATGCAAAATATAAACTTGCAAAAATAGCCAATGGTAATGCTTAAATTTTATTAAATAATTACTGCCGTAAAACTATAATTAATGATATTTCAGATCAACATAATTCGGTAATTTTGTGTTTTTCTAATGTTTATATATTTAAATAGTTTTTAGTGTGCACATAGCTCCTTTCCATACTGTCAAAAGTGCACTTAGCTCTTTTTCATATTAAGGATAGAATGCTCTTAGCTCTTTTTCATATTAGGGAGAGAGTGCACTTAGCTCTTTTTCAAGTTACACCGACGATATGTCATATGTTGCAGCATGAGTGAAGTTCACTAAGGGAACATGTGTTTTGCTTTGTTTTATATACTCAATAATATTTTAATCATTACAAATTAAATAACCAATTTAAATTCAAACCAATCATGAAACCTATTTCCTGTGACACATTTGTCTGCCTTCCACCCCATACGGTCAATAATTGTGTCGTTTTCGGCAAAAATTCTGACCGCCCGTCAGATGAAGTGCAAGAAATTGTTTACGTTCCTAGGCAGGTATGTATTTTATAAGGAAATTTGAATCATAAATTGCAACAGTTATAAATTATGTCTTTTCCGATAATAGAAATTCATAATCATGGAATTGCGAGTATTGTCAATCCATAATTAATTTTTGGCGAAATCTTATAAAAAATTGAAACTAGCGATCGAAATCTATGAAATTTAATTCTTAGACTGCCATCTCTAAAATATGATATGCAATTGTCCCTCCATATAATTAATATTAACCATCATTATTGTTTAAATAATACCTTGTTTCATTTTTTATTAGACACATGATAAATCCGTGCCAGAGAAATGCACTTACATCGAGATTGACCAAGTGGACGAGACTTTTGCAACAATTTTAAGCAAACCGAGCTGGATGTGGGGGGCAGAAATGGGGGCTAACGAATACGGCGTTTGCATTGGTAAATCCATATTCAATGCAAACATTTTTTCAATATCCACATCATTATTAACCGCACAAACTCCACTAATTGTCATAAATTATTAGAATATAAAAAAACATTATTTTAGACTAATAAATAAAACCATGTCACCTTTCTCCCAGGAAATGAAGCCGTCTGGACAAAACTAAACAACGCAAAGGAAGACATCAAACCCAAACTCCTCGGCATGGACCTCGTCCGTCTTGCTCTCATCCGAAGTAAAACTGCCTCCCACGCCGTCACCGTGCTGACGACACTGTTCGAACGGCACGGTCAAGGCGGACCTTGCTCCGACTCGATGAAAAATTGGTCCTACCACAACTCCTTCCTCATCGCGGACAAGACGGAGGCGTACGTCCTCGAGACGGCCGGGTCCCTCTGGGCGGCAGAGCGAGTCACGAGCGGATACAGAAATATCTCGAACGATTTATCAATCCGGACAAAAATTGACTTAATGTCGGACGGACTCATGGAGAAAGCGGTCACTCTCGGATTTTGGGATGGGGTCACACCCTTCGACTTCTCCGCCGTGTTTGGAACGTCTTCCGCTGATGAAGATGAAGACAGGAGGTTTTCCGAGGGGAAGAAATTACTTGGCAAGTATTCGTCAGACAACAAGTTTGATGAAAACTGTATGATGAAAATTTTGCGAGATGGACCGAGTGGAATTTGCATGGGATGTGATGGATCTTTCGTCTCCACGTCGAGCCAAGTCAGTGTCTTGCATGGAGGGGGAGGATGTCAGGATATCCATTACTTTACGGGCACGCCGGATCCGGAATATTCCGCATTTAAACCGTGGATTTTCATCGAAAATGTGACCGTTTTGAGTACGACGAGTCATTTGAGTGGCGTAAAATCTCCAGAGGGTGGGCGAAATGGGAAACATGCGTTGTACAAGGAGCATGAAAAGTGCTATAGAATGTTGGTCAAGTCAAAGAAATTGAAAGAGAGTTTGATGGAGGTGGAAAATGGGTGGATCGCCATGACCAAAAAATTGGTGGACGATTACAAATACGCAGTGGGAAAGGATGATGATAAAGAAAAACGTGTGATTATGGAACAATTGTGGAATCTGTTTGATTCTTGTGTTACGCAGGAGTTGGAATTTTATGGGAAATATGTGAGTAAATAAAAGTAATAAAAATATAATAATTTGCACATAATTGCCATTTATTTGTTAATCTTTTCCTGCTATTATTATCCATCATAAAAAAATAAATATACATACATATCAAGCATTGCAGGCGGAAGATGGGGAACACAGAGGACATGGTAGGATAAAACGGGGAGGGGCATTTGTATCATGGACAGATTGGGAAGACAATCTCCCTATGTTTCCGCCGCTAATGTACAAAATTATGTGGCGTACGCGTAAACTGCTTACTTATGCATGTATTTTATCAGATCCAGAAATTTTGATGCATATTTTTCATCAAAGTCTTGAAATATTTAATTATAACAGTTTGTTTAAGCAGATTGTGCATTTATCTAGTGCAGGATGTGAGTTGTTGTGATTGAAAGATTGACCTTGCGTACCTTACTCAACCTGAGGTCGGTTATGTAGTGTACGTACATAATGTATGCATATGTTCTTCTCACTGAACGATATACATAGAATTGCAATTAATTATATAATTTTTTCAGAAATTTGTGCAATAAAGTTGAAACAAAATCAGATAAATAAGCATGAGAACTTAACTTGAATAAAATTTCTTAATTAAATATATGAGGTACTTCTATTCCTAGTAAATCATCATGTCGTATTCAACCGACGATATATATATCTAAATGTGCACAATATTTAATTGGCATCATAGTATTGTAAAATACAAACGTTCAACGTCACACTGGAAAATCCATGAACAGTATAATATCGTTCTCAAATCTTAAAAACCCATACTAATTAAATATTTGCTGAAAGAAAATGCGAAATTAACTACTTTCTTTTATAAATAATTAAGAATTGGTTAATGTAATAAATTTTACAGTTAAAGAACTTATTAATTAAATATGCAAAAAATGCAAAAATGTGACTCGATTTTAACAATAATATCCATTTTATAAATTTTTCCACTTTAATTTAATAACTGCTCGACTTTAAAAATTTATTATTGTGCATCATTTGCATAGAAAAATATACCACACGATAAAATTACACGTTATGACTGGGAAACACAATAAAAATGACAACCTATCTTTGTTTCAGCCTCAATTTTCCCACGCATTGTTATTGTTTCAATAAAAACTGGATGTAGACAATACTAGACATTAGACTTATATTTTTAATATTGATTTTTCATAGTCATTCAACTCCTGGCATTCGATTCCAAGCTAAGATTTGTATTTTGTGTAAATTTTTAATACTAAATAGTTCCTCTGTAATTGCTAAGTTCTGAAATGGCTATTGTTGTAAAAAATGGGTGCAAAATGTACAAAACGGATCCTGTATTACAAAATCTTAACCTCAAAATTGATCAGGGAACAATGTAAGTAATTATAGATATTAATCTGCAATAGAATGCATGAATATCAAAAATTTATGAAATTTATTCACTTAGATACGGGCTTCTAGGTCCGTCAGGATGTGGGTATGTAATTTGGAAATGTTTAGCACAATATGATCTTGAATCACAGTTATCAGTTAAGTTATAGAAATTTGTAAAAATTATAGAAAAACGAGCAGAACTGCGACGAGCTAGTTTAAATTGTGGAAAGGATTGCATGGAAATATTCGTAAAAGAGCTTGATGAAATTTGCGATCAACTAAATAGTTTGAATTTAAACAAGGTGCCCATGAGAAATCCTACATTAGAAGAGCAAACATTGTATGAAGAGAGTAATATTTGTCACATTTGTGAAAATGTTCTCCAGGAGGATAAAGTAAGGGACCATTCACATGAAACTGGACGCTTTAGGGGGGCAGCGCATCGTCAATGTAATGCCAAATACCGTCAAAAAGATAGAATACCGGTTTTAATGCACAATTTTAGGAGCTATGATTCGCACTTACTGCTTAGTTACGTCAGAAAACCGTCTGCGAAAGAAGTGAAAGTGATTCCATCTAATTCTGAAAAGTATATGGCGTTGCTCTGTGAGAATTACGTTTTTCTGGATTCGTTTCTCTTCCTCACAGCCTCGCTGGATACTCTGACGAATGACTTGTTGTTGGGAAATAATTTTGAGCAAGACTTCAAACCATTAATACAGATTTTCGGACAGGGTGCGGTTAAAGAGATGTCCAGAAAAGGAATTTATATGTATGAATATATGGATAAGTGGAAAAAGTTTGATCAAAAAAAGTTTCCCAAAAAATCCGACTTTTACAATTCATTGGCAAGTTCGGGCGTTTCAGATGTTGATTACAAGTACGGTAAACATATTTTCAAATCATATTGCTCGGATTTAGGGGATTATCATGATCTCTATTTAATGACCGATACTTTGTTGTTGGCTTGTGTTTTCGAGAAATTTCGTGAGGTTGCCTTGACACATTATAAACTAGATCCTGTTCACTATTATTCGCTAGCAGGGTATTCATGGGATGCTGCATTATTAAATACGAAACAGGTTTTAGATTTGTTTATCGATTCTGCCATGTATAATACTATAGAATTAGGACTCCGCGGTGGTGTTTCAATGATTTCGACGCGATATGCTTCGGCGAGGAATAAGTATATACGAAAAAGCGGAAAAATAAAAGATGGAGACAATTATCTTTTTTACATTGACAAGAACAATTTGTACGGGGAAGCTCTTCTTCAGCATTTGCCCACAGGAGATTTTGAATGGGAAGACGCAGAGTTCGTTCAGAATTTGACAACGGAAGAAATTTTAAAATGGGGCGATGAAGATAATATCTGGCGAATTTTAGTTGTGGACCTAGGGTACGGGTCGGCATTGCACCCCAAACATTCAGAGTACCCGCTTGCCTCCGAGAAAATTTGTGTAAACAGTAAGCTACTTTCTTCGTATCAGACAGACCTTATTTCGCATTATAATATGACTTATTCTGAGAAGCAACCTAAGCTCGTACCGCATTTGGGCCCTCGTAAAAGGTACGCTGTTCATTATAGGAATTTAAAATATTATTTAAAGAAAGGAATGACTTTAGAAAAAGTACACAGTGTAATTAAGTTCAGTCAATCTGCATGGTTGAAAAATTATGTCTTATTTAACGGTTCTTTGCGTCAACAAGCACGAACCATTTTTGAACAAAATCTGTTCAAATTTATTGTAAGTAGCATTTTCGGGAAATCCGCAGAACAAGTACGAAATCGAGAAGATGTTAGAATTGTGAGTAACCTAGAGCAGATGAAGAAGTTGACTAGACATTCGAATTTCAAAAATTGTCAAATTTTAAGTCCTGACCTCGTCATAACTTTTCTTGACCGTGCAGTGGTGAAATTAAATAAGCCGTTGTATATTGCCTTCACGGTACTCGACTTAAGTAAACTCTTTATGTATGAGTGGCACTATGATAAAATTGGCGAGTGGTTCGGGGAAAGAGCGAAATTCTTGTTTACAGATACTGATTCATTAGCATATTCAATAACCACTGCAGATTTGTACGAGGACTTGGCTGAGCACGCTGACGAGTTTGATTTTAGTAATTATGACCAATCACACTTTCTTTATTCGAACGTCAACAAGAAAGTTATAGGGAAGATGACAGATGAAGCAAAAGGAAATGTTCTAGAGAGTTTCGTAGGTGTTGCGCTGAAGATGTATTCCTTTCTTGGAAAAGGTATAAGAAAGAAAGCAATGAAAGGTGTCAAGAAACAAATAGTTGATAAGTACATTAATCATAAACGATTTAAATCAGTGCTATTCAAACAAAAGAAATTGGTATGCAGAATGAATCTGATTCGTTCACGGCATCACAAACTCTATTCTGGAAACTTTTCGAAAGTTGCACTCCATTGCTTTGATTCAAAGAGATACATTTTAGCTGATGGGATTAATAGCATAGCCCATCATGATGGTCGCATCGTTGCGTAAACCGTTTACATCGGTTAGAATTTATGTTAAGTGTATATGTGAAATAATAAAATTAAGAGTTGTAAATTGCATGAAGTAAACGAAAATGGTTATATTTCATTTTAAATATATTAGTTTTATATTTGTACAAACATGTAAGTCGAGTCTATGCAATAAATATTTTCAAAAGAAATTTGATCCTTTTGCGACAAAGTGGACAATAATCTTGTGTACACACGCAGTCTAAACACATACTTAAATGGGCACAAGGCAGAACCACGAATCTCGCTTCAGATGCATCACAAATTTTGCAGATAGGATCAACCATTACGGTAGCCAGAATTGGAGTTCCAGCAGCTGCAGCTGAAAGGTAATCATTATAATATTTTGCATCGTCTGATTTTTTCTGTAGCGAAACTAACAAAATTTTTACCATTTTCAGAATGAGGTTCTTCAGAGGCGGTATCAACAGAAAAATTTTTCTATAGAAATAAAACAAAGCTTGTAATTCTAATATTACTAATACAAATTTGACTTGAAATTTTTTTTGATAAAATTACCTTCTGATTGGCTTTGGCTTTGTTAACCAATAAATATGTACACTTATTCGAAAAAAGAGCGTGTTCAATCCAAGGATTATCTTCTGGCAACCAATTGTGCGCGCCGACCCCACAGAAATAACAAATAACTTTATCTGATTCGCCGGAATAATAAAATCCACATTCGGCCAGCGTATGGGGTGTTTGCGCCTTATTGGTCGGCCATCCTTCGTACGATTGAAGCCGTTTTTGGAAAGTGCTCATGTCCTTATTAAACATGTTGAAAGGTTTATAAGTTAGGTGTTCCGAAACTTGTGCTTGCATTTTGATTTCGGCGTCGTTTTCTTTTAGCACCCGAATCTACATTACGCATCGGCGTAGGTCCATGTGTATCCCTCGATGAACGAGCTGAGTCTGAGTTAGAATTTAAGTTGTCCTTACTTGATATAGGTTTCCATTTTTTAAAGCCTCCCATCCTAGAAGCGCTATCGGTTTGATTAGAACAAATTCTGATTCCTTCCAGTGGACCCATTAAGTCTTGCTTAACATCCTTGGACAACATTGTCGCTGGAACGTTTACCATCTTACAAACTGTTAACATACGATTAATACCTGCAGGATTATGACTCCACTTCAATTCTCGTGTTACGTAATTTACCAAATCAATTATGTTGGTTTCCGGGGCAAATTCTGTTCCAAAAAAAGTTACCCTTCCATTTGTGTCCCATTTGATAAGATCGGGCCTTGATTTCGGCATGGTCATGAGGGGAATAAGCTTCGTAGCTTTGACGTTTGCGGGCTCATTTCTGAGTAAGATAATATCGTCCAAATTTAAAGGAGAACTTTGAGGAACTTCATTAAGTGTATCTGGATCCCACGCCGTCGCTGAACCTTTCGACGACGCGAAACTCTGGTTTAAGGTTGAGTTTGGTGACGATATAGCAGATGAAAAATGATCTAGGGAGCTAAAGTCTGCACTACTATCGGCATTAATCGCTGCATCTGGTTTGTTTAGGCTAAGTTTGACCTTTATAGGATCAGCTAGTATTTGATTCAATTGTTGCTTTACACTTTTCATGATGGAACCATAAAGTTGAATTTTTATGTCATCAGGGATTTCAGAATTATCAAGTACTTGATCGGCTCGACCATTTGCATCACGAAAGAAATGCTCTTTGACTTGAGATAGAGGGGTATGTCTCTTTAGCAAACGCTTGTATTCGTCGTCTTCAACCAGTCGCATTCTTTGTGCCATTTTATAACCCCAATTGTGAGCCAATGGCTCTACCTGCAATTGCACCTAATGCTGATAAACCTGGTGAAATCAGAAAAGGTAGAAAACCACCCTTTTGCAATAATAAGTGCTTTTTCTTCTTGTGTGATAAAGTTCGTTTTGACAATTTTCTTATTGAGTCTTTGTGCAATGATAACTTTTTTAATTTCTGTTCTGCTACCGGAAAATTTCCACATACAATATTCATAGCAATCTCTGTGAGAGCTCTAATTTGGTCGGGAGTTGCCGCTTCAATTTCTTTCGAGTTTCTTCCTGGTCTGGTCGTTGGATTTGTGTAACGTCTTCAGAAAACCTTGATTCCTCTGTAAGCATTTGCTCATCCTGATGTTGCAGTTTTTCGAAATAAAACGAAATTACAGCCGCCTTGAAATGGCTACAATGGGGATTTGCTTTATGAAATCGTAACGGGCACTGTTGCTCTGTCATTTCTTGCAAGTCGTTATATTCACATCTTAGCTGATCCCATAATTGATTAATATTATCATCCATAGTATTAATGTCAATAAGTTTGCAATTTAGTTTAAACAAGTTTCGTAAAACGTTAACTTTTGCCATTCCCTTAGTATATACAATATTATCTACGTCTCTATTCAAAAGTTCTTGTAAATAATCTCGTACGGTAATAAATTTGTCGTTTCCAGATGACCAATAAATTTTATGCAAACGATTTTCGCAATACCGTACAATTCTTCTATCGCTCATGTGCAATCTATCGAAACTATACGGTGACTTGACAAAAAAATGATTTTCGAGATCAGAGGCGACGATTGACAATTCTTTTATAATAAATGCACTGTGCAACTGAAAGCCCTCAATTTCAATAATATATTTCATTTTGGTAGATAAACAAATTTATCCGTTTCACCTAAAATACCTTGTATTACTCTGTACTGATCGTCACAACGTGGGTGCAAATTTAACACTAAATAGGAGTAAGGATTTTTTGTAGCCTTTTTATAAGCGTCGGGAAGGAAGCGTGATTTGTTCGGGAAAACTTGTCTGCTTAAGTAATTAATTTTTACCCACCCCACCCACCGCAAACGTAGGCGACTTCATAATTACTGTGTAATGGGTATTTTATCTCATGGTTTTACCGTGTTTACCTTGCGGGAATAAATTTTGGGTTAAAATTATTACAGAGACTGATTTGTGATGTGACCCCTTTGTAAGTAGTTGATGATTTTTTCGCTTTGAACAGCGTCATTCATTTGATCGTCAATTACAATAATATTATTGATATCCGGATTAAATTCCTCCAGATCGAATTCCAAGCCTTTGATTAGTTCGACATGAGGTAATTTTGACACTAATTCTCTATACGCTTCTTGTTCCTCTGTGAAGCATATTACAACCCTATCTGGTGCTGGAGTGACAATCTTATTTGAATTTAGCAACAAGGATTTTAAAAATTGTGTCTTGCCTGATTGCGTAATTCCCGAAATACTCATAGAAAAAGGATGTAACAACTGAAATGTATTACCGTGGTCAATTTCCATTGTTATGCTTAAAGGATCTTTTTCTGAAATGAACTGTCAGGACTGAGATTCCTTTGGGGAAATGGATTTCTTCTCCATATTCATTAATATAATAGATTTAATAGAACGCTAATGCTTCGTCTGAATAAGTTTTTCACATTTACAAATGATACGAAATACATACACAATTTACAAGACTTTGTACAATCCTATAATTCTTCAGTGCATGGGTCCATAAACTGTCGACCAAAAGATGTAAAGCCTTCCAATCAATTTAATGTTTGGATGAAGAGTTACGAGGATTTGCAGAAGTCAAAGCCGTCTACTCCTAAATTTCGAATCGGACAGTATGTTAGAATTAAGATTCAAAAAGCAACATTCGAGAAAGGTTACGCTTCGACGTTCACCACTGACTTGTTCAAAATTCGAGAAATCGTAAACAGCATACCTGTGACATATAAGTTAAGTGATAATACAGGGGAAATAATTTTAGGTGTATTTTATCCTGAGGAATTATCTCTCGTAAAAATTTGAAATTAGTTCCCGAAAAAGTTTCTCGGAAACCTCTGAATTATGAGGCTTATATATATTTTTTTTTAATTAGCATTTCCGAACCGGTTTTGAAAATGAAATAAGCAGCAATAAATAAACATAAAATACATAAAAAAAATATCCGAATAAAAATATAAATAGAGGCAATAGTATTTAAGGAGAAAATTTGCGAGTATTATCCGCATTTGTTCGCTGAGTTCGAACCTATTCACAAGTCTATAAGATGGAAAACAGTCTGAAGGACTTAGCCTCAGACGACGAAAAAATTACATCTGAACAAGTGCCTGAAGATGCGCCTGTTTCTGCAAATGAGCGACCCAAGCGTGGTAAGCCCGATCTGGATGGGAAAGCCGGTTCTTCGAGTAAACCGTCGACTGCTCAGAAACTCAAAAAGTTCATCTGTAAAAGAAGGAAAATCGAAAAATCTTCACAAGCTCCGTTAGCATCAGGTACTCATGTTTTTCATAGGAAGAATTCTTCCGAATCATTGCTTGGCTAAGGATCGTATATTCCTATGTAGGTGTTGAATTTTCATCGTCTGGAACATCTTCATCGTCGGCATCATCTTCCGACAACGAAGGGGCTCATGGAACAGACCTTACCGCAGTTTGTGGTATGAGCAAAATTATGCCAAAGCCATTTTTCAAGCCAAGGTTGAGCGCTAGAATTGATGATCACTCGATTGAGTGGTACACCTTAATCAATGAGATCGTTTTAGACATTAAGCTTTGCGGTTACAGATGTACAGAATACTATAATAATCATGTGAGATTCCGAGGGCACTATTTACATGAATTACTTAATTTTTTGAACGAAATACCGAAAATTTATGAAACCCAACTTCCTACACAAACTGCTCCGCTCAAATATTAAAAACTTTGTAAAGGCTTAGAATAATTAGTTAATATTTGTAAATGCAGATCTCATGGACCACCTTTTTCCAGATCATTTGCTAAATGATTGTATCGTGTTTAATAAGGGGTTCGGAGGAAAGTCTTACTTGCAATGTACGACAATCGGTGAAGAAATTACCATCACCATTGGCGGAAATTCGCTTTTTGAGTTCATTTCAATGAACAGAAGTCAGTTTGGCGAGTTTTTGAAAGTGTTGAATGAAATTAAAATCGAGTGTCACAATTTCTTCGATTTGGACGGACCTTTAGACTTAACTACTAGACAATAGGATTTTAGTTAAATATGAATAAAATGTTTCCTGCACACACAAAAATTGTTCAATCTTATTTATTTCTAGGTGATAACGACGGGAAACCTGACGGTATCACTAACGCTCAAAAGGTCTTTTTCGCAGTATTCGGAATTTCACCTACACCAAAACCTGCCGGCACTAATCAAATCGGTTGGCCCGATAGAGGATTCGAACTTAGTGACCAGGGTGCATTTGTGAGGAAAGACTATTTTGTAATGTGCACACTGAAATATTGGTATACCGAAATCCCGAAAATTTTGAAAAGGAACTTTAAGATCATAAAGAAATGCAATTATGAGAAACAAGCTATCATACAAGCCAAAAACAATGTTCATATTCCCACATTTGATTTTACCGGCGTATTAATGGTTTCTAAGCACTACATGGATTAATAAAAACACGAAATTGTTTAAAAAACAGAGGAACAAAATGTCTGCACCGTGTTTTCATTCGAGCGCATATATTGACATCGCATCGTAATTTATAGAAATAAAACAATATGAATTTGGCCACCCGTGGTCCATTTTCCCAGCGGCCCGCAAGGGCCGCTGGGAAAATGGACCAGGGGTGGCCAAATTCACAGCAGCATATGCATATTTACTTATTACACTCAAACTTTCAAAGAAGACAACCTTCTGAGGATGATGGAACTCAAGGGATTTAAGTGAAACGCTATTAATAATGCTCACATTTCAAATTCTCAATACCTTTATTAACTCGAAAATGATAAACCTAGTCACACATGCATGTTTAATTATTAGCACCCTTCCTCCACGCTCTTAACAGGAAAGACAAACATTGAAAATGCCGTGATTCCCCATTCTCTTCCTTCTATCCGTGGCAGGAAGCAGATCGTATCTCCCGTGAATTTCGGTCCGGTAAACAGTCCCCAAGAATAATTGCCACTGAAGTAGAAAGACCTAACCTTCAGCGGTGGAATTATTGATGGGATCGATCCCTTCACTTTGTAAGGGACATCTTGAAAAAATGACTTGCCGTAGAGTTGAATTTCCCTCTCGATCTGAAGAGGATCGCCAAGTCGTGTTGCCGTCCATCGGTTGTTGTACGTGGTCCAAATATGTCGACATTCGTCTCCAATTCCGTCCAAGAATTGGTTAACGTGATGGCCAAGTTCGTTATATTGAGTTATACTCCACCCGTAAAGAATTTAGACATGCACGTTTTATTTACACATGCAGCAAGAAATACAGGTCATCACGAAATTAATAAGCAACACACTGAGCCTGAACTAAACGGTTTGACTTACAATCCCATGACTTCGAAATAAATTTCTTCCCCATCACTCGGTGCGACCAAGTCTTGCTAGGATTCGGAAATATATAGGGAGTGGTTTCCCTTGGTGCATTTCGAGTCACCAATGTATTGAAGGAGATATTGTGGCACCCCGTTTGCCAGGCAGGTACGAAATAGCGTTATTGCTGCGTAGAAGGCGATTAATAAAAATGTTTTTGCTTCCATTTTATACCTTTTTTAAATAATTAGATATATATGTTGGTGAATGGGTGGTATTTCTTGAGAGAATGATTGATGGAATTCGAGCGTATCACACTTATACAGAAATATGTGTAAACATGCTTAGCCGCACGTTCTCATCTTTTCAGTTAACCTGCAAAATTAAAAAAAATATCAATCGGATTCGAAATAGAGTTGGGTGCAAAATATTTGTCTGTAATTGCTCACGTTCCGAGTATAATGTTAATACATATAATTCAAGTTAAAAATGTGTATGATAATGATCATTTGAAGCATTGTTAAATCATCAGATTAATAATACACTTATGGATTTTAGCTTAGGAATTTCCTAATAGGAAATGAACTATTTGGTTAAACCCATTATTTGTGTCATGACAAATTTTCACCGTCACAAATGTATGTACTTGTCTGAGTGCACAATTTTTACATGTTTATATCATATTCATTGGCACAATGGTCCTCCTGGCGTCGAATTATGGTGGGCTATTATTATACAAATTGTCTAGTTATGTATGCAGTTATGCAGTCACAACTGAAAAACTCATTTATTGACTGCACAAATTGTACTTAAACGGCAGCCATCCCTCGTATTTATACCTAATGAGTATTTTTTCATGTTGATTTAATATAACTGACTGATCATGTAAAATATTATCACATTGTGTCAACATGAGTTTCCATCAAATAAATAGTGATAAGATGAAAACGTGCGGCTAAACTTATACCCATTTCTGTATAAAGTTGACCCACTCGGATTTCGTATAAACTATTCCCTCAGAAACTATTAGTACCATTATTATTTAAAAAAAATTATTACCATTTTTACTGTCAAGTAAAAATGGTAATAATTTTTTTTGTTTTTCACGGTATTGCAAAAATTCTGCAATCTAAATTTATTTATTAATTGTGATTGAACTGCCTCGTTAAATTTGCAGTTTTTTTGGACCATGTATATATCAAATATCGTGTGCTCGAAAATGATTTTCATGAATTTTCATGCACCGTTCTGAATTTTTTTATGGGTGTTATATATTAAACGATTAAAAATATTTTGTGCACTAATTTCGTGCAGGTGTTACTAAGGGGTGAAAACCCCTTTATGGAAATGTCTTGTCTGTCTGTCTGTCTGTCTGTCCGTATCCACGATAACTTTAGAACGGATTAGAATTTCCACATCCGGTTTTCGCCAACGTGTTTCTAATTTTTGGGGACGGGATGAGTTCCAAGATGGGCGTTGTAGGTCGTAAGGTCACGGCGCCACGGTGATGACGCCAACGGTCAAAGGTGTCGAATTTTTTGGTGCAACCGTTTTAGACGTATTTTTGGGCGAGGATTTCAGAAATCGCCATTATTTCGACGTGCGATGACCGTGTGACCGTGTGGGAGGTGTCGACTTTTTTGATGATTATTTCGCAGGCATAATTTGGTTTGTTGATTACTACAACAATGCTCATTCAGAATTTTAAATTTTAAAAATACTAAGAATTTCAAAAAGTTGAGTTGGATGTTGGAAATAAGAAAGAAACTATCTGGGAGCATAATGGTGAAAGAAATTTGAAAATCGGAGTTAAATTGGATTTTTGGCGTGGTTTTTAATGAGTGAAAGTTGGAGTGAAAACGATTTTTGGGCACCTTTGGGTGGGTGTGGCGGGCGCAAATGTGGCCATGGAATCAAACCGCTTCAGCGTTGCTGTACATTCATGGCACACTACAGCATACCCAGAGGGGATCGAAATCCAGTAGTTGATAGCACACAACCTCCCCTCCTAAGTTTTATCTATAATTCAAATAGATAAATCAATAGAATCAGTTTGCAGGTGCATTTATAACTCGAATTAAGTACTCTGATTAACATTCCGTAAATTTCTCTTTTTATTTCGAATTTTTGTTCATGATCTAAAATCATAATTTACAGCTTAACTAGGAGTTTGATCAAATTTGTATTTTTCTTGTGTTCCTTGCATTTTGAATTCAAGGTTTTTGATAAATCTTGAGAAAATTCAATAAGTTAACAAATTGACGTAACATTGTTTTATTACTCCAACCCAAACATTGGATAGAACCCAGTAAAATTCTGATTCTGAGAACATTCATTCTGAGATTCTTCATTCTGAGAACCCATACTACAAGCAGTATTATCCGATTAAAAAAATCTGGGTGGTGTAAAACTTTATTTTAAACATGTTAAACATATTTAAAACTAATAATATTTTAGTATTTTAAACAATTTTATGCATGTTGCAGATATGAAAGAATTTTTATTGACTAGGTTTCTGCAACAATTTAAACACAGCTAGGATTCTAGTAATTATTTATCCACATAATTATTGAAGCAGATGCTTACAAAATGGCAAGTTGTGTCGCATAACTGATCTGTACATAAAAATTAGAATTGTAGTCTAACGTTTAAGGTCTTTATGTAGGTAGGTGTCGCATTTGGAACAAATTTTGCTTAGTAATTAAGAGAGGCCCTGAAATGTCCAGTTCATATAGTTAAGGAAGAATTTCATAGACAGATATTTGGGGAACCGGTACTTATTTTAGATAGTTTAACTATTGTAGGTATAAGGCAGCGAGAATGCACTGGCGATGGACTGCATACTTTGTCGTTCGGCATGGTAGATATAGAGTCAAAGCGGTGCATAGTTTAGAGTCCAGCATGGCAAAAGTACCTCACGCCGGCGGCTGTGGAAACGCGAAAGGATGACGGTGCTGGATGCGTTATGCACGGCACGTTCTTACATTGGGGAGAGAAAGTGTATCTAGGGGGTGACGTGGCTTACTGCGTTCGCTAAATATTTTTCCAGCAGTAACCCAACCAATTCGAGCAAAACCAAGTAATGAGATAATCTAATCCAGAAAAAATTGAGATACATAATTAAACCACTCCAGTGAAATAATTAAACTGGCCTCCTAAAACAAATTTTGATTTGATTTTTTTGATTTTTTATTAGTAATCCTTTCTTTTAGCCTATCGGGCTTATGAAGGAGCATAAAATTGTAGATAAATAAATAGATAAATATTTATCTAAAACAAACTAACTACCCTCATAATATTTACTAAAGGACCATCCTCGTAAAATAATTCATCGGCCCTAAAAACTAGAAGAAAACATCAAACAGCATTGCACCACTTATTCTCTATTCCCCACTTTTCTACACAAATAGTTGTAATGTTGCACCACTTCTCTCATTCCCATCACTGTGTAAATTTGTTTACAATATGTACTTACCTTTTGCTAGGACCTGCCGCTGGCCCCTTTTCTTCCTCCACGCTGTGGAATTCTATGTCCATCACTTCCCCAACTTTGTAGCACTGGCTCACATTATGTTGTTCACTACAATATTCACACACCTCTGTTATATTCACTACTGGTATTTTCTCGCACTGCCCCATGCTATGAAAATTCCCACACAATTCACAACTTTGTGTATCTTCCATCCCCTCCACTGCTTTATTGCACATACCAATATGGTGAAAACCCGACGAGACTCACAACCTTGCTCCTCTTGCATAATTACGTATGTACGTATTTCAGATGTGTTTCTAACGACAGACTGGATGAAAGATCAAGTGCATACTGCATTTTCCTCCATCTCATCTTGTCGTTTTTAAACTTTTGGAGACGTTTCTGATTTCTTGGTTTGCTAGCGGCTTTTCATTGTATTCGAGATCCCAGACACTTTCGTCGTCACTCATTTCTAAATTACGGTTCTTTCATTCCGTTCCATTTCATCCTGTCCCATTATTAATCCCATTAATAAAAATTAACTCTAACTTCCTG